TAATCTATTTATATAGATATAATATGTTATCAGAATGTTTTATATATAATAATCCTGGTCTTGTATCTATTTTTCTAATGTAAGAGTCTATATACTTGCAAACTGTTTTATATTTGTGATTTAGGTATCATGAATATTTTTTTTATTTCATGTAGTGTTCTTTAGCATTTTGTTGTTACTAAGTATTCCATCTATAGTTTCCAGAGAATTATTTTCAAATTTATTAGTAAAATTGTCTAGTATTTTCTTTTCACCTTTTAGTATCCTCTAGAAGATTCTACATATATCCACTTTCTCATTCTTAAAGGTATTTATTTGTGTTTACCTGCTATTATTGTTATTAGATACTAGAGATGTTGTTAAATTTATCTCTCTCCTTTTAAAAGCAACATTTTAAAAAATCTTTGCTAAAATTTTATTTTAATATTATTTCAAACTTGAATGAATAGGATAGGAAAGTCCCATATACCCATTATTTACATTTTGTCCATTTGCTGAATTATTTTATATGAATATGTATGTTTTATAACAAATGTATATCACATATGTATTTCTACTACTATTCTTCATTATACTATTTCTTCTGAACCCTTTGGGTATAAGTAGAAGACAGCCCTTTTCTCCCCTGAATACTTCCATATGTATTTCCTAAGAACAAGAATTTATTTTTTTAAGACTAAGATTATAATTGATGTTCAAATAGCTAGGTACAATAAGTGCAGAATTTTTCACATGAATTGTCAATATAATGGTGTCAATTCTTCTATTTTATTTTTTTAAATAATTCTTTTTTGTTGAAAGTATTACATATGCCCCCTTTTTTCTCCATTGATCCCTTCTAGCCTGCCCCTACCACCACCCTCCCCCCATCCCCCAGGCCTTCAGCACCCTATTGTCTGTGTCCATGGGTTATGCATATTTGCATACAAGGTCTTTGGTTGATTACCTCCCACCCACCCTCCCTCACCTTCCCTCTAAGATTCCACAGTCTAGAATAAGGATTTTTCTTACTTAAGCACAGTATAGCTGCCAAAATTAGGAAATAAGATATTGATACACTGTTGTTGAATCCATACTCCATATTCAAATTTATCTATGACTCACTAATGTCCTTTATGGCATTGCCTTAGTTTTCACATCTCTTTAGTTTTTCTTTAGTCTGGAAGAATCCCTCAGTCTGTATCTTTCCTGACCTTGATGTTTTGAAGCAGGTCGGGCAGTGATTTTGTAGAATGTTCTTCAATGTGACTTTTATATTTCTTCATAAGATTTAGGTTATACATTTTGGTGAAAATATCACAGAAGTGATGTTGTGTCATTCTCAGTGTATCATATGAGGAAAATATCATAAAAGTGATATTAGTTTTGGTCACTTAGTTACGGTGGTAACTCTCTACTTTAGAGTAATTATTTATCTTTGTCATTAAAGGAAAGGGTAGGTATGGGAGTGTAGAAATGGGTAAAGGCAGGGGACGACTCCTGCAATAATGTCAACACTAAAATTTTTTAATAAAAAAGTGAGATATGAGGAGATAATTTGAGGCTATGAAAATGTCCTGATATTTTTAACATCTAACTTTAACATCTCTTGATGATTTTAACATAATCATTGCTTTTGTATTCATTGACATTCTATGGTAAGATTATTTAATCTCTCCTTTTTACTTATATCTGTATGGGTTTATGGATTCTTATGTTATTAAATTTGTTATAATCCATTGCTATATTTATTTTGATTGACAACTAATCCTAAGGTTACCCAGTATGTGAGTCCCTTGAGCTTGTCTTCTTCATTCTTTTCTTTAACCTTCAAATTGCATTGCTTTTTCATTAACTCTATCAACTATTTCCATGTGTACTCATTAATTCATACATTGACTTGTGATGTGTAGGAGATGTAAGAAACTTCAGACTTCACACAAAGATCTCCAATTCTAAATAATCTTGACTTGGTAAGAGATTTCCTGAATTGGGTAAAACAGAACCTATAATCAGATATCAAATACACTAACCTTCTCTCTTTTGTTTTATATCATTTTAGTTTTTCATATGGTAGCTCATAGAAAAGCATCTGTTGTTTTTGAGTGTGGATAACTGTCTTCTTGATATGACATGGTAGGAGGGCCTCACTGGATTTGTTCATGTTTTACTATAACTTCTTTAGTGTTTGGACCATGAATCTGTATAATCCATGATAAACTTTTGGTTTTCAGGAATCATTTTGCTCTCGCTAATTTTAAGTAAGAGCTTGTGGGTTTTCACTTTCAATGCATTCCAGGCTTTCATTTTTTTAAATGTTAACAACATGTATAAATATGGTATCATTTCCTCTGAGATTTTCGACCTAGGTATATGAGAAAAGATAGAAATGAGTCCAGGCCTGCTTTTATAAATTTGTGAAGAGAAATCTCTGTTATTTATCATTCCCTTTGTCCTAAAGTTATAAACCCTCTTCGCATGCATATTAGAATTCTTTCTTCCTTGGCCTCTGGTCTTGACTTGTCATGGTGGGCTTTTTATTTTTGTTACTTAAATGTCATTCTGAATGAGGCTGTTGAAGATGCTAAAAGCCAGTAGGCATTTGTTAGAGACTTTGCTACCTATGGTGTTGTTCCTAGCCAATGCCCCTGCCTGTCCTCCTCTCTACTCAGCAGTAGGGCCCACTGGTTACAGTTCATGCTTCCACCAAGGCTCTTGTTTAATTTTCTGACATATCTCTATAAGTCTTTTTGTATTTATTTAAAAATTTTAAGGACTTTTCAGTCAAGAATGGCATCTAGATAGTAAGACCTACATGCTCAAGTCTGATTATTACTACTAATGTGCCATTGACCCTGGTCTCTCTCAGCAAAGAGAACTAGGAAATATCTTTAACTGTCTATTCATATCCATACACTATGTCTACATTTTTTTCTATGCCTATGTTTTTATTTCTATATCTAAATAAAAACTATGAGTTTCATTTCCAATTCATTACCACAGGGCACACATTGGTTCTCCCCTTTCATATTTTTATTCCTGTTGCACTCTTCCTGAACTATTCACTGATCCATTGGAATCTGGATCCCATTATTCCCAACATTTTTTACTCATTTGCACAAGTCTGAACTACACAGAAGTTCATTCCAGAATTATCAACTCATACCACTGAGAAAAGTAAGCTTACTAATAAGAACCTTGTTTACAGATTTGATTTTAGGCAAAATTTATATACAGTTAGCCACACAAAGTCTAAGACTGCAATTGATGAGTCTTGAAAAGTGTATACATGTATATATAATCCACATCTTATCAAAACAATTCTCTATCTAAAAATGTAGAACATTTGTATGCATTCAAAGGAAAGTTGTTATTAGTTTAAAATAGACTGTTATAAATATGTTTTATGCAAGTCTCATGGTAGTCATAAAGCAAAACCTATACTAAAAACATAAAAGGTAAAAAGAAACAAGTCAAAGCATACCACTACAAAAAAAAAATCATCAAATCACAAGATAAGAGAGTAAAGAGAATCAAAGGAATAACAAAACAACCAGAAAAATAATGAAATGGCAATTGTTAATTCATACCTCTCAATAATTACTTTAAATGAAAAAGTATAAATTCTCTAATAAAAAAACATGGATTGGCTGAGTGGGTTAAAAAACAAGCAAACAGTCCAGCCTGCGTCCTGGCTCAGTGGTTGAGCGTCGACCTATGAACCAGGAGGTCACAGTTCAATTCCCGGTCAGGGCATGTGCCCGGGTTGCAGGCTCGATCCCCAGTGTGGGGTGTGTAGGGGGCAGCTGATCAATGATTCTCTTATCATTGATGTTTCTAACTCTCTTTCCCTCTCTGAAATCAATAAAAATATTTTTTAAAAGCAAACAAAAAACCCAGACCCATCTATTGCTGCCTATAAGAAGCTAACTTCAGCTTTAAAAACACAAATAGACTGAAAGTGAAAGGATGGATACAGACATTCCATGCAAATGGAAACCAAAAGACAGTAGGGGTGGCTACACGTATGTCAGATAAAACAAATTTTGATCCAAAAACTGTAACAAGAGACAAAGGAAGTCATTAAACAATGAAAAAGGAGTCAAATACTCCAGAATAGATAACATTTGTAAATATGTATGCATTCCAAACAGGAGTACCTAAATATATAAAGCAAATACTAACTGATCTGAAGGAAGAAATAGACAACAATACAATAATGGCAGGAGATGTTAAAATTCCACCTTCGACAATGGATAGATCATCCAGACAGAAAATCAATAATGAAACATTAAGCTTAAAGTACATGTTAGATCAGATGAAACTAACAGACATTTACAGAACATTTCATCCATTTGCAACAGAATATACATTCTTCTTAAATGCACATGGAACATTCTCTAGGATAGTTCCTATGTTCAGCTGTAAAACAATCTTTAAAAATTCAAGAAAATTGAAATCATATCAAGCATCCTTTCTGACCACAATGATATGGAACTAGAAATCAATTATAAAAATAAAACTGAAAAATTCACAAATATATGAAGATTATACAACATGCAATTAAATAACCAGTGTGTCAAAGAAGAAACCAATAGAGAAATCAAAAAATATCTTGAGACAAATGAACATGGAAACACAGCATAGCAAACTTATGGGATGCAGCAAAAGCAACTCTAGCAATTCTAAGAGGAATATTGATAACTCCTACATTAAGAAATAAGAAAGACTCCAAATAACCAACCTAAGTTTACATATATATAGACATACTAGTATATTCCCTAAAGGTGATACCAAAAAGCTGTTAGGATTAATAAATTAATTCAGTAAAGTTGCAGAATAGAAAATCACCATACAAAAGTCAGTTGTATTTCTATACACTAACAGCAAACTACCAAAAAGAGAAATTAAGGAAATAATCCCATTTACAATAGCATAAAAAAGAATAAAATGCTTAGGAATAAATTTAACTAAGGAGGTGAAAAATCTGTACACAGAAAACTGAGAAAAGTGTGGCCCGGATGTCCGGGCGCAGCGGGCCCTGCGGCTGATCCTGGAGCTTCTCCAAGGAAACTTACCCGCGGCCCATGGCATGCCTTGGACTTTACTGTGGGAAGACCCTATTATTTAAAAATGGCTCAACTGAACTGTATGGAGAATGTGGGGTGTGTCCAAGAGGACAGAGAACAAACGCACAGAAGTACTGCCAGCCTTGCACGGAGTCTCCAGAGCTCTATGACTGGCTCTATCTTGGATTCATGGCTATGCTACCCCTTGTTTTGCATTGGTTCTTCATTGAATGGTACTCGGGGAAAACGAGCTCCAGCGCACTTCTCCAGCACACCACCGCATTGTTTGAATGCGGCGCGGCCGCTGCCATCACCTTACTTGTGAGTGAGCCCGTCGGGGTTCTTTACATCCGTTCATGCCGAGTGCTGATGCTCTCTGATTGGTACACGATGCTTTACAACCCCAGCCCAGATTACGTCACCACAGTGCACTGTACCCACGAAGCTGTCTACCCACTCTACACCATTGTATTTATCTACTATGCGTTCTGCTTGGTGTTAATGATGCTGCTCCGGCCTCTGCTGGTAAAGAAGATTGCCTGTGGGTTAGGGAAGTCGGATCGATTTAAAAGTATTTACGCTGCACTTTACTTCTTCCCCATTTTAACCGTGCTTCAGGCAGTTGGTGGAGGCCCTTTATATTACGCTTTCCCATACATTATATTGGTGTTATCTTTGGTTACTCTGGCTGTGTACATGTCGGCCTCTGAAATAGAGAACTGCTATGATCTTCTAGTCAGGAAGAAGAGACTCATCGTCCTCTTCAGCCACTGGCTACTTCATGCTTACGGGATCATCTCCATCTCCAGAGTGGATAAACTCGAGCAAGACTTACCCCTTTTGGCCTTGGTACCCACGCCAGCCCTTTTTTACTTGTTCACAGCCAAGTTTACTGAACCTTCACGGATACTCTCAGAAGGAGCCAATGGACACTGAATATAACATGCCAAAACCCCTAAGAAGTATTCTTAATAAAAAAGTAAAGAAATTAAAAATGTATTAGTTCTCTTCTGTCATACATGGGAATGAGATTGTCAATATGTCATAGTGTTTTTGGTTGGTTTGATTTTGTTTTTGACCTAAGACTTTATGGTTAGACTTAGAAAATACAAACACTATAATACTCTCTTACATAGTATAATACACTATCCCCGTTTATAGTACTCTATTATATGACAGGAAGCCTATCTCTTGCAACAAGTTGGTTATTGTTTAGAGCAAAAACATGCTTCTGTTTTTATTAAGTACTTTAATAAGTATAATATGGAATTCTTAGCTTTGGCACAATTGTGCTTGCCTGATGTGTTTCAACCTGGCTTTCAAGTGTAATGAATTATAAAGACATACCTGTGGGGTCTGATAGCAAGCATGGAAATGTAAAGTATGTTGTTTTTGTTATCTGTTTATTTTCACCAATATAGTCTTTTCATCAAAAATAGAGCATAATTTATATAACAGGTTTTCTGTTTATAGGTAGTTTGGTTGAAAATATCTTCATATTATTCCTGTTTCTGTAAAGAAAAACAGTAATGAAAAACCTGACAAAAAGTCTCAAATGTTCTGACATTTGTATTTGCCACACTAATTGTGGAAATTAAAAATATTAGGTAGTGAGATTAATGTCTTTTTCCCACGTGAATAAATACATGTACTCACATATTTCCTTCCTCTTACATCTTATTTAAAAAATTTGATTTTAGACAGAGGAGGGAATTGGTTGTGCAGAGATGGAACTGGCAACCTAGGTACGTGCCCTGACCGATCGAATCTGCAGCCTTTCGGTGTATGGGATGATGCTCTAACCAACTGCGTCAGCCAGCTGGGGCTTATATATATTTTTTAAGGATGCATACACATGCCACATTTTTTTGATCCTGGGACACATTTCTCTCCACAGTGGGACATCTCTGAATTAGGCTGCATCACACAACTAATGGCTTAGATTTAACAAAATGCAGAATCTATACAGCATAGGAACAGTTTTACTGTGGTTGTTGATAGGTATGCTGCTTGTTGATTTTTATACTCTGAATAGACTTATGGTTGTAACCATGGAAATAAGATTTTTATTTACTGATTCTGCTATTGGTGGGGGTTACCCAAGTTTGTTAAATCTCAAACTTTAAGACTTTCATTGACAGTTGCAAATTGCAAAAGAATGCACTCACTTTCTCTATAGTTTTGTTTATGCCTTTTGAATTCACAGCAGTTGTATCCTTGGAATTATTTTGTTATTTTTTCTTCATTACTATCTTTTTCACAATACGTGCAGCCACCGGAAAACGGACTTTTTTGGTACGTGTCTGTTTGGTCGTCTTTTCTGTAGGAATAAAAAAAAAAAAAAAAAAAGAAAACTGAGAAAAGAAATTGAAGAAGACACAAATACAAAGATTTTCCATATCCATGGATTGGAAAAATCAATATAGTTAAATATAGTTATCTTTTTTCATAATATATTTATTTGAATTAGAATTGTCATGCATTAATTTATTTAAAATATATTTATTTGAATTAGATAGTAGAAGTACCTACTTTTACAAAATCTCAGATTCTCTAAGGTGAGCTCTTATCTAAGTCTAATGTTACTTTTCATCTGATACTTGAATCCCTTGAACCAAATCACTTATTGGTGATCTTCAATACTGGTAAAAATCCAGCCAAAAAAATATATGTATTGTAAATATGACCTATTCTAGTTTTGCATATTACTGATGTTCTCATTAGCCATTGACTATGTGGTTTCTTTAGTTTGCTATGATTCCCCCATATTTATTTTTAACTAACCCCTTCCTAAAATTTTAAATATCTCATTGAGAAGATGGCCTTTTCCTCAGGTCCAATGGCCTCTTTGGGACTGCTCTTTCTCCTTAGCAATCGAACTAAAAGAAACAAGTTGACGATTGCATATAGATATTGCAACTAATAAAATTGTATACATGGAAAAATAAAAGTTTTCCAACTCGAATCAACCTAGTACATGTTTAAATTGTTCTATTTTAGTAATTTTGTTTAAAAAAAGCAAAACAAAGGATCATCTATATCAGCGGTTCTCAACCTGTGGGTCGCGACCCCTTGGGGCCGAAGGACCCTTTCACAGGGGTCGCCTAAGACCATCGGAAAACACATATATAATTACATATTGTTTTTGTGATTAATCACTATGCTTTAATTATGTTCAATTTGTAACAATGAAAATACATCCTGCATATTAGATATTTACATTACGATTCATAACAGTAGCAAAATTACAGTTATGAAGTAGCAACGAAAATAATTTTATGGTTGGGGCCACCACCACATGAGGAACTGTATTAAAGGGCCGCGGCATCAGGAAGGTTGAGAACCACTGACCTATACGTACATAAAAGCCTAAGCGGCCATTATGACCAAACCAACAGAACAACAGGAATGACCAGTTGACCAGTCACTATGATTTACATTTACCACCAGGGGGCAGACACTCAGTGCAGGAGCTGCCTCCTGGTAGTCAGTGCGCTTCCACAAGGGGAGCACGCTCAGCCAGAAGGTAGGCTCACGGCTGGCAAGTGCAGCTGCGGTGGCAGGAGCCTCTCCCAAGTCCGTGGCAGCGCTATGGAGCAGTGGTGGCAAGTGCAGTGGGCTGGGATCGGGCTTCTCCCTGGCCGCCTGCCACTTGGTGCATTGCTACATACCCTGAGAGGTCCCAGATTGCCAGGTCACAGGCCAGGCTGAGCCCCCCCCCCCCCCCCCCACCACACACACACACACACACACACACCCCATACATGAATCCATGCACCGGGCCTCTAGTATCAAAATAAACTCAAAATTATAACAAAGGGGGTTTGAATTAAGTAACTCTTTATGTGAAAAGTAAAATTTCTTTTCTTCACAAAAAATATATGTTGTGGCAATGGATTAGAGTTAAAAGATATCAGTATAAACTAATGTTTAGCTTAATTAAATACAGATGGTTATATATGAAAATATTTATAATATATATTTATGAGTAATTAGTAAACACATATATATGTCTTTGCTCTATCCTATGAAAGTACTTGAAACAATGACACTCTAGGAGCAATGAGGATGCCTAATGCCTAGATCTTGGTTTCCAATATCATTCTCAAAAAATAAAATAAAAAAGGAAAAAGGGAACCAGGGTTTCATAAATAAATGACTTATTTCAAGCCTAGGGCAGGAAGTAGACAAGATTAGCCAGAAGTATAAACATGCAAAAAAGAGAAGAAAAAAACAAAACAAAACAAACAAAACATGGTGGGTGCATGACAAAGGAACACATTAGCAAACTAAAAGATTTACCAGTGGCCCAAGGTGCAACAACTTGTGCAATTAAAAAAAACAAAATAGTATTATGTTATAACACAAAGTGTAAAACAAATATCCATGAGTCCATACTGATAGAACTAAATTATTGAATAAATAAATAAAGCCGAAGAGACAAATTTCCCATGCAGAGTTCCAAATAATTTGTGTACTTTGCTGTCATAAAATCAAGTAAGATTTTCCCCACTCTGTGCATCGCGACTTGCTTCCAAAGGATACAGTATGGGAAGGAGGGGAAGAAGTAATTTTACAATGGAGAAACCTGGCAAACTACCCCAACCAGTTGACCAAGGTTAACATCAATGGTGTAAGTCATATTAGTAGTAGGTGCCCTTGATAGAAAGTGATGGAAATGTCACTTTACCCCTACAGTCTTCCTTCCAAAAATTCATAACCCCAGTCTAATGATGAGAAAAATATCAGACAAATTCCAATAGAAGTAAACTTCTACAAAGTATTTGGGAAGTGCTCCTCAAAACTGACAAGATCATCAAAAACAAGGGAAGTCTGAGAAATTTGCACAGCAAAGAGGAGACATGATAATAAATGGAACATAGTATCCTGGATGAAATCCTGCAAGAGGAAAAAGACATCAAGTTCAACCCAAGGAAATGTGAAATATATATATAGATTTTAGGTAATAAGAATGTATCAATATTAGTTCATTGTGACAAATGTCACAACTATAAAGCTCAAATACTGATATAAGATGTCGATAAGGGAAACTGGGTGTGTGGTATAAAGAAACTTCATATTATCATTTCAATTTTCTGTAAAATCTACAACTATTTTGAAAAATAAAACTCGTATTTTTTAAAGTATATATTGAAATATAAAAAGCCCACACAGTTTGAGATTGTACGTATAAACTCTTAGCCGTCTAAAGGTCAATTGAATTGGGTTATTATTTATTATTCTTTCCTTGGTTTGCAATGTTAACTGCATTCTTTTCATAAGATGATTCAAAGTTATTTACTTTCACTCCCTCAGGCAAAAACTTCCACAGATGCTATTCAATATGCTGTTCTGTAACCTCATATTGCAATACTTTTTTAATAAAAATTCTTTTCAGAAACAATACATTATGGAGCTGGGTTTTCAATTTTATTGAGTGAAGGACATTAGTTCTTTCTGTTATAAGTTCAAATAAACTTTGCATTCAAGATTCAGATTTCACATATATTACTTTTTCTTTGAAAAGGAAAATGTGCCTTGTGAGATAAACATAACACAGTGCAATCGTGGCACTTGAGGGCTGAAAGTGACCCTGAAACGAGGAACTCCAAGTACAGCATTGTACAAATTATTCCAACAATGACTAAGTGATGGCAGCCAGGGCAAAAAATAAACTGAATAAACAAAACCAACTATAAAGCTCAAAGCACATCATAAGTTGAAATAATTATAAATGTCAGAAACAATATTCATATAATAATGGTTATTTTTTTCCCCAGGATTTCTCAGTGTGGCATAGGAATATGTTTGGGTGCCTGTTTGCCATAGTTATATTAATATGCAGTCAATTCCTATGTTCCTATTTTTGGAATATTAAAATCAAAGATTCTTCCCTGATATTAAAATTCTGTACAACCCTGGGAAAATTCCAGAAGGAAAGTTATTTTTTCCTTTGTACAAGAATGCATAATCTGCCCTGGCTGATTTGGCTCAATGGACAGAGTGTCGGCCTGAGGACTGAAGGGTCCCAGGTTCG